GGGCTATTTCTCCTGAATGCTAATAAAAAAAGAAATACATTTTGTAACACATCCCACCTTTCTGCTTAGCTTTGTTTGGGAAATTGATGCATAATTTTTAACAGAATCCAACATTTTGACCCAGTCTAATTTTTCAATGACTTCTTTAAATAATTCAAATTTTTGTTGATTAAACTTTAAACTAGTGGATATTCGCTACAAGCAAAAGTACATTTTAAGTGACAATTATTACATGCTTTGAAAATAAAAGGGCTTTTTTATCCCTTTTTTAAGATTCTGTTAACAGCTTACACAAGAGAACAATCTATGAATTTATTTTCTTTTATCTTTCATTGGCTTCTTTCTGGAGAAACCATCCTACTATTCTTTTTCACAAAGAAGCAGTCTGTGCCTAAAGACTCACTGATTTACTGAGCTCTCCTAAGGTTCTTTATCTTCCTGTGGCCTTTCTGAGACAGTTTGGCAGATGTGAGCTATTGTGTTCCTACACGAAAATGTTACAGCAGAAAACTAATGGTGATCATTTTCATATCAGTTGATTGTTTCACAGGCAATTATTTAAGTAGAGAAATCTAGCTAATAATTTCTTATTCTAAATCTCACTAAGTTCAAATAGAAGAATGATCTGAGGAAACATTGTGTCATTTGTGTTTTGAAGTTTTATTAAAAAGTTGGAGTTTTATTCTCATTCTAACATTTTGTGAGAGGGAAGAATAAGAAGCAGGTTGAAGGGATTGAAATTCTGATGTACAGTGAAAATACGGAGGACTGAGTTCTTGAGAGAATGATATGACGGCTTTTGGGGAGCAAATGAATGTTAAACATAAGCTATGTGAAACAACTTCCATTTCATTAAAAAAGTGATAAAGGTTGACACAGGAGGTGAAAACTGCTTCCTTCAGTTAGAAAAACTCTTTAATTCTCAAGGAGCTTAATGCAAAGCATGCCAGGAGGCTTTTGCTTAGGTGGTATGAGATTCAAAGATCCTTCGTAAGTTGGAACTGTGATAAGAAGTACTGAGTGAGTTCACCCACAGACCTGCTGCTCCTGTTAGGAAAGTTCTGGCTTTCTTGGTGCTCTTCATGCATGATGTCATGGACACATGGGAAACGATGCCTTGTTGCCACAGTGTTCTGGGGTAAAGGCATGCTCCTGGGTAGGCCCTTACTAGCATTTGTGTTAGCATGAACTACAACTGCACACCTTTTGCCAAATAAAAGATAAAAGTCGACAATTCGGCTCTGCCATCTCCATTTCTGATCTCCCTGTGCCACCTTATTTCTTTTAATCTGCCTGGCAACCATGAATATTCCTTCTGTCTTACTACATTGTGAGCAACCTATGTAATTTCTACCATGAATACACCAGCAGGCTCTCGGTGTCTTGCTATGTCAGCTTAAAATTCTCTATGGGGTTCGCTGTGTTTCTTCCTGTTTTTCTACTTGGGATTTTTGTCCTTTTTTTCTTGCTCAGCTTGCTTATTTCTGTTGTGATTTGATTTTCTTTCTCCTTAGGCACAGATAGCTTGTAGCTGTGCAACTGCCAGGTTTAGTGGGGATAGTCCTAACCTACCCTGATGTGGGAATAAGCTGATTGAAGCACACTGCTTTATTCAAACTACTCTGCTGGACACAGCTTTCCTTTTCTCTAGGTGAGCTGGAAGAGGCAGCTCCCTTTGCACTTCAAGTTTGGCGTCAGAGTTCCATTTTGGCTCTCTTTCCACTACGGACCTCCATTCATATGCTTCTTGTTACCATCCACACAGTTCGTTTATAAAATTAAATTAAAGTAGTAAACAAAATACCAGATACTCCTCCTAAAGCTCCATCTATAAATATCTCCCCTGCCTACTCATGCTGTCTGATTAAGAGGCAGTAAGCAGTTATTTAGAGAACCTAAAACAGGTCAGATTCTATCAAGATAGACAGGTTTTTTTGAAATTGGGATATTCCATTTAGCTTCCTGTTTCATAGGTAAAAAGCCCAACTCTCTCAAAATGCGCACTGTCGAAACTGAAGCCACCTACTTTGACATTTTCAGAATTAAAAAATCAGATTTTTCATTTTGAAATATTTTTTTTTCATCCAAATCAATGTACCCAAAGTGTATTTGGAAATACTTGCCCCTTACAGAAAAATGTGGGTTTATTCCTATTTAGAATTAACTTGGATTTTTTTTATCTCTCAGACTAGCTGTGAGATGCTATTCTAGCTATTGGTTCCTTGGAACAATGATGACATTTTTGTTTGATTTTTTTTGTTATGAAAATACTAAGTTTAATTATGTACTAAGTAAACGTGAAAAAATGAACAGTACCTTTGCAGCAGTGGCTAGCTATGTTTTGAGCAAATCCAGTTATTTTATGAAAAAACGTAATATCTTTCTTTCAGACTTCTAGAAAATCTGGGTAGCTTTCCCTTTGATTTCCAGAAATCTAGGCATGGATCTGACTCCAGTCCTAATCCACAGTGTGATCGGATACTCTTTGTCATCATAATGCCGCTGTTTTTATTTCATGACACAGGCACTCTGGCCTGTGGTGTGAGAGCCAACGAATCGAACGTGGTTTTTAACTAGCACCTCCCTGTATGAAGCTGCCGGTACCCGTAAGGCTGCCCTGTGCCGCGCAGAGAGGAGTGCTGCGATACCATCTGACTTCATCCACGTAGATGCCCAGACAAGGCAGTGCTGGGGACAGGCACGAAGCTGGTTGCGCTGGCTCGTCTCTAAGGAGGTAGTGCAAAAAAGGTCACAGGTCTTGTCGGTGCAGAAGAGCTCTTTGCACAGCAGGCAGCTCTGGTTCGGAGCACTACAGCTTTACATGTGTACTTCTGGGACTTTTCTGACTTCTTTTTCCCTTCCCTCTAGAAACTTCTGTGCTCTATACAGTGAATAAGAAAAAATGTTTTTACTGACTTCAGAGGCTTAAATAGTCATTCAGGTGATTGAAATTGAACGTGTATCACAAACCACAGATGACTACCCGTCTGTAAAAGTAAGCCACACAAATTACGCCACCATACACATAATGTGTACATACAGGCAATATTTTCTTTTGTAATTCCTGTTTTATATTGTCTGAGAGTACCCTAAGAGAATGCTTATCTGCAGTTGAACAAAAAAGTCTAGGCATAGCTGTCATCAACATTTGCTTCGCTATATAGATGGAAATGTAGCAATCTTGAGAATATTTCCATTGAGCAGGTGAAAAGCGTGTAGTTCTGACTTTGCTGCTTAGATTTGGGATTTTATTTTTAGGCTGTTTATCATACAGTATGTACATCAATTTTAGGAAGTTCAGCTTGCGTGAAACATTCGTGTTACAATCCTCTTCTGAATTCAAACTTGCATCCTTAGTGCTGCGTTTATGAAGTTTTTCTGAGCCTAGTGGGTAGGTATTAGCTGTGCATGTTTGTGTGTTCTAAATTGCATAGACTCACAGGATAGAAGGTGACTTGGCAGGAAGCAGAGCTTTAGTTAGTGATACGAGGTGGAGGACGTGTGTTGTCTAGTGTTAATTATTCTGGTTATTCATTCACATTGGCTTAGAGACCTGTGATTGCTTTTGCTGAACGTAGTTCTCCTTATATCTGACTTTGTCTTTTATGGCTTCCAAAAGCTGAGCTTCGGGGAGCATTTTCTTTTTGTAAGTAAGGTTCGAATTGTATCCAGTGTGGACACTGCTAGAGAAGATGACCTTGGCTGATGATAGGTGTGGGCATTAATGAGAGGCTACATGAAGAACGTAGTAAACTTGCCAATTCCCAGAAGAAACATTGTCGCCAGGGCAACTGAAATGCTATGACATGGGAGATATGGGGCATGCTTGCCAGGGTGCTTGATCTCAGTGCTATCTTTTCAGGTTTTACCTTGTGGAAAAAATGGGTAAATGGTTCCTGTCACACATTTATCAAGTTATTGGTTCCACAGACCTTTGCATGTGCTTCTTGGGGTCTGCTTTTGGAATATACCGACCACGTTTTCTGGAAGAAAAAGATATATGTTGCTTTTTTAAGTTGTGCTTCCATACTTTCTAGTTTAACTCCAGAACCGATCTCCACTCCAGAGCCGATCTCCACTGCAAATTGTTTCATCTCTTGGATCCCCAATCTCTTGGAGATTGGACTAGATGATCCTTTGAGGTCCCTTCCAATCCCTAACATTCTGTCATCCGTTTGTCTGCGCTGGCTCTTGAGATCCTTAATCTGAAAGGGAAAGTGTGAAGTGACTCGAGGGTCCACACGGACTTCAGACTAATGACAAACAACGTCATACTGCGTTAGCAAATCACAGACGGGTCTTGAGAGGTAGAAATACATGTTAGTAGGGAAAAAAAAAAAAAAAAGGCAAGTATTTTATCGAATTGGAAGGAAAGACAGACAGACGAGTAGACAGTAATTTTTGGCTAGAGTGCTTCCGGGAGCTGAGTTCCCCCGCTCAGCCTTCTCCTCCTGAAGGCATTCCCGCTGCCCTGTCCAGAAGCAGCGCAGCGGCGGCCGCAGTGCCGCCCGTGAGCGCGGTGCCCCGGCCCCTGCCCCTTTCCCGTTCCCTTTCCCTGTCCCTTTCCCGGCCCGGCCGAGGGCGCCGCGCCGCCTGGAGAGGGGCTGGAGCCGCCGCGCCACGTGACAGCCCGGCGGGGATAATAAGCCGCAGGAACGAGCCGCCCTGGGCTTCTCCGGAGGGTCAGCCGCAGGGACCTACAGCAGCAGCAGCAGAGAGAGAAAGGGAAGGGGGCAGGAGAGAGAGCGAAGGAAGGTCACCACAGGTCAGCACCTACCTGGCAGTTTCAGCCTCTGCTCTCGGCAAGACCCGCCAATATTCACTCCCTGTCACCTTGCAAAAAGAGAGAAAGGAAAGAAAAAAGACACTGCTACCTACAACCCATCAGCAAGTAAACTAAGCTTAAATATATATATATATATACACACAAAAGTAGTAGAAGCCACAGCTGAAGGCGATCCCCGGGTAGCACAAATAGCATGAACCAGATAGAAACAAACATGCAGTACACCTACAACTATGAAGAAGATGAGTACATGACCCAAGAAGAAGAATGGGACAGGGACCTGCTCCTGGACCCAGCATGGGAGAAACAGCAAAGGAAGGTCTGGAAATAAAGTAATGTGTGTCTGCATGTGCGCTTCTGTGTGCGGTGTTGTCCCCTCTTATTGCCGTGCTGCATCTGGAACTGCCAGGGCTGTGCAGTAAGGGGTTCTGATTTTGTAAGAAAATATATTTTACATTGTATAAAGCATATGTATCATATGTATTAGCTGTGATATACTCTGAGGATAAAGCATTCACTTTTTGGATTCTTAAGTAAAACCTATGTAAGATGAAACTAATTTATGAGAGTCAGGAGTTTCTTTTTATATTGCACTGGAAATATTCTGTCAGTATCTCTATATTTATATATTAGCTGTCAATAGGTATTTCAGTAATTTTTAACCTCACTTCCTGGATCTTCCTTTTGGAAAGCAAACTCTGAATTGATGTATGTGCCTGATTGCTTTTCGAAAACAGTAAACTGCAATTCTAAACAGGGAGAAGAATGAAATGCTTCAAAATTGTTGTGCAAAAAAAGTTTGCAATGCTTTTGAGACCAGACTTGGAAATTGTGATCCTGCAAGTCAGCTCTTATTAGAATTTAGTCTTAATTCTGACTGAATCACCTGACAAGGAAAATATTGTCTAGAAATACATCCAGGCTAGATTTGGAAAACTGTAGTTCATTATTAAGTTCCCACATGCCAATTCACTGTTCGGGAAAAAACAGGTCTGTAAATTCCTTGGTCTTGCCTTTTAGGTGTCAGAAAACTATCATGCCAGCAAGTACTGTCCATGTTCTTTTTCTGAAGGTAGACAGGGATTATAATCCTATCAGCAGTCTTGTCAATTGTTTGGCACTTTAGTTAAAGATTGTCAATGTCTAATTTCAGAACACTGAGTTTTAAGCACCATATGGAAAACAGGGAGATAAAATATAGGAAAGGATTTGTTACTTGCTAATGTAAAATGATGTTGAAGTCACAGCTTACAGATCTGGGATTAAAAGGTTATCTGCTGGTTACAAGAATGAAAAAAAAAAGAAACGAGGGGGGAGGGAGAGTGACAGAAATGGCACTCTAGACAATGAAGTTGAATATGCTTTTTGCTCTAGGTGAGCATCTCACTTCAAGAACTTAAGTAGAAGTTGCCAGCTTACATCTGATAACAGTCTGGCCCACTGTCGCAGTCACAGCTTCTATAAAAGCTATACTATGAAAGAGAGAATAGCTATAAAAGTAAGAGCTGTTAGAATCATTGGGGCCAATGGGTTTGCTTTTCCATTAAAATCGGTACAGCCAATATTTTCCTGTCAGTTTTTACTTGTAGCTTTCCTCCTTCTGTGAGTTTTAGCTGGTTTTATTCATTTTCCTACATTCACACCTGTTCAGATCCTGCTGTACGAGTATAATGAGAGAATTTCTGGGCTAGGTTGGAGTTAACTTTTCGTGATCTACCAGCTACTGCAACTCCTAACCGATTATTAAGCTGTACTCATCAACACTGATGTTTGTTTTAATTTGACACTCTAGATGATGAACTATTTTTTTGTGTTTTGTCATGAGAATGGAAATTATCTTAGTGCTTAAGTACTTCAGTGATTTGAAACTGCTCAGCCATAACAGGTCCTGATTACATCTGAGTAGGATTCAGTTGTCCAGCATTTCAGAGAATGATGTTTTCGAAATAAATAAATATTGGACAGAACACTAGTTAGTCAGCTCTCTGGTGCGGTTTTCCTACAATGCAGATAAATGATAAAAAATAAAGAGAATTTAGATTCTGTAGGCTTTCTTATGTTTGCAGTAAATCTGTTGACTTTTACAGAAGGGCAGGGAGTAGTTCATATAAGACCTCATAGCAAATTTTTTGTTTCTATTCCTTCGAACAGACAGCACTTCAGCAGAAAGTCCGGTTTCCACCCTGATAAATTAAAGCAGACTCTGCCTTGCTTCCACGGAGCAGAGAGATTATGGCTTTGCTACTTCATGTTGTCAGTTCCCAGGGCTTATTTTTAATATTAAAGTGATACCACATTCAAATAACTTTAGAAGAGGGGATCCTCATTCCTTGTCTTGGAAAGGAGTCTGAAGTTATTATTACATGAAAAATAACTACTCTTGTGGTAAAGATAAACTTCATAAGATTTCAAGGCTTCTCTCTTTTTGTAATTAGTGCTAAGACAGTTGCAGAAAGTGCTTTCTTTATTTTCCTATTTATCGGGAGAAGATTGCAGACACATGGGCACAGATCTTCGTTCAAAGTGGTAATATAATATTGACAAGTGATCTCAGTGGAGCCCTGGCAGTTGGCAGCATATATTTTCTATTAGACAGTCTTGGAACAAACCGAAAATAAATGCCATTGTTTCTATTGTGGGCTGCCGTCTCCAGACTTGCCATTTCAGTGATATGCCTGGTATGAGATCTGTCAACAGATGCTGGTAACACATGATGACGTCCATAGGATTACAATGGATGTGATGCCTAATTATAACCATGGTTCATAGAGTATTATGGTCTGCTATAATCCAGGTTCTTTGGTGGCTGCAGATGTCAGAATAAATATGAAGTGCTCTATAGAAAAGGAGGCTGAGCAGTAGCTCAGCTCTGTCTTTCTGAATGTGAACACCCACCTAAATGTTTTGGTTAGGGTAACATTTAGCCTGTGTCCAATCAAGAAACCAAGAAAATACAACAATTTGACCATTCGCTGCATTAGACACTATCGGTAAAGACTTAAACTGCTCATATGATTGGAAATTTCAGGCAGCAACTTTAAAGAAAGATTACATAACAAAATAATTTGTATTTTGGATGGACATGCTGTCTTTGGTGGGAACTAATTAGAGAAATACAGCCTTGGTGTCTTTTGAACATATAGATGGGAACCATGAGACTGGAAGCTTCTGAAATCTCCTGCTTGATCCGGTACACTTCCACTGGCCATGTGTGCTTAAACAGCAGTTGAAAGACCTGTGAAAGTGGCTCCTTGTTTCTTCAGCACTACATGGAAATCAAAAAGTATTGGAAATCAGAAAGTCTGGCCAGAGCGGGTGAGGTTCTTTTCTACACTCTGCTCTGTAAACTTAGACAAGATCAGCTCACCTCAGACCTCGGTTTTCCCACTGGTAAAAGGAGGACAGCAGTGATATTTGTAACAACTGATAGAGGTGGTTGGTTCCATGGTATGTCAGACTAGTAATTAGCTGTCTTTCAGTCCCTACCCTGCTGGACTGGAGAGGAAGCAAAAATCATGATAGCTGATAGTGGAAGACTTAAAACCTGATATCTCTTCTCTCCATGATAAATTTATTTCTTAAGTTTCCAAAAAAAAAGTTCAACGAACTCCACAAACTGTATACATTTCACTAGCCAGTATGTCAGTATAACTAAAAGGAGCATAGGAAAATGCAGTGTCCCTTACTTTAGGAAACCAAGCACATCAACACCACTCAAAATGCAAACATATTGTTTGCAGGATGTTTGAACTGCCAACACCCCTTAGTGAGCTGTGTGTTTAAACAGTACTCTTTTTTTATTTGTAACTTTTGCTAGAAATACTGGATTATAGGAGTGTGCTTTTTTAAATTTTGAAATGCAATGTAGTTTGTTAATTTTTAAAAGAAGTCTTAAGCCTTCAGGATAGAGAAAAGACTTGAAGGTTGTGAAACAGGTGTGATCCATTCTTCAGGACAGTTGTACTGTATTGTAAAGCACTAAACTGGCTCCATGTATTTCATACATATCTTCTGCAGTCATTCAGTTGTCTCCCTGACACTGCTGCACTAGCATGTGTAAGGGCAGGACTGGGAACATACTCCTTGCCTTACTGATATTATTAGAGATGAATGATCTTATTCTAGCTTGCTGTATGGCCCTGATACCACCGCTTTGTTAATGCAGAAGGGTTTTAATGAAGGTGTCAATGCAATTTCTGACCATTTTGACTTTTTTTACACTATATAATAAACTAATTTGCACTATAGAATAAACATGAAGACTCAAAATATTTGTTTACCTTGATACTGCACTGTCTGTGACTGCAAGTCTTTTTGATGACACTGAGTGCTGTGAATGAGTGAGGACTTCTTTGGAAAAGGTTCTTTAGGAAAGAAGCTGTGTCTTTCCAGTCTTCAGCAGTACGTATCAGATTGCATCTTCGGTGCAACCTGTAAGGATTTATCTGCATTACCTCCTTCGATTGGTAATACAACTCCTGTTATTCTTGCAAATAATAATAATAAAAAAAAGGCATTTGAAAGTCACATGTATGGCAAATTATTTGGAAGAAGCCACCAGGACTATGAATTATGGACATCATCCTTCTTTTTCTAGTGTTGCTGCAACTTCATTAAGTACAGATTTTGAGAGGTTCGCTGCAGCCTGAAAGAGAAATTGACCTTGTGTTCAGTCTGACTTCATTGTCTATAAATAAAGTTACAGTCAGTGTCCTAGATTCACTCTCAAGTCTGCGTAGTATTCTATGGATGTAATCTAAATTGTTTTCTTATCAGAAACCTCTTCCTAGAAGAGGTCTGCTGGTGAGTGAGACAACAGATGATGGAGTGGAAGGAAAGAACTTCATTCTTCAACCAGGAAGAGAATGTAAGAAAGAACCAAGCCTGGATGAATGAAAACAAGTGCAAGGCAGAAAAACGTTGGCAGGAGAGGCTGGATGCCACCAGCAAAATTCAGTACTGTGGAACCACTCCTCATGGACTTGCAGGCTCCAGATTGAAATCATTGTCATGGAGAATATAGCAATACCTCTAGTGTGTACAGGGCATTCCAGCCTAGCTGTTGCTCTTTTACTGAAATGATCTGGAAATAATCAAAGTTGGGGTTTTGAGTGTGGGTTTTTGAATGGGAGTCGTGGTGGATTTTTTTTGGTTTTGTTTTTTTTTTTTTTCCCAGAAAGTGCAAAATTCTTTCCTTGAATAATCAGCCTTGAAGTTGAGCTCCCATACCACACAGAGAAACCATACATCTCCTGAGGGTTTTTGATGAGATGACACTTTTTACCCATGTGCAATGCCAGTGGGATTGTTGAGAAGGCA